CGTTGTTGCTACCTTGACGTGGTGGTCGGGCTTGCCTATCGTGATGAAGCAACCGAGCTATACTGACTGGAACAACCGTTCCTCAAGGTCCTACCATGTCAGACAGGTCGGTTGAAGAGCGGTAAGACTAAAAGCAACAAACCCAAGGTCCGAAGGCGAAGTCGTACTGCTGACTGTACAGAGGTGTGACAGCAGTAAGGTGTTTCCTTCAGACAACCAGCATGACAGCGATGCTGCCTTCCCACAAGGAGGGGTGGGGTTAGAAAAGGTCGACCCTAAAAATGCACACCTCACCTTACCTCACGGATTTCCGTCTCCGGCGGTAAGGCCCTTTGAAGAACGGAGCTAACACGTCGAAAACCTTCCACGAAAAGGCCGTGCGCGACCGGCCTCAAGCAGTTGTCCCTTGGGCACTGCGGTCACGCTCTCAGGTCACTGAGACCACCTCTAATCCGATTTCCTTTTCAGGTACCTCCAGAAGAACCCTTCCACGGTGTGGGCAACCGGGAAGTGATAGCCGCCCTCATACCTCTAACAGCACCCAAGACCACTGTATTCATATTGTCTTCTCAAGTAGGCCTACCATTCACGGATGTGTTAAGGATAAGCTTCGGTTTTGAGTCACATCGATATGCATCTATAAATTTACTTGCTTCTATGGGGTAGGTTACATTGGCCGTACAAAGAGACCCCTTTGGAAACGCATTTCAGAACATTAATTGGCATGACTATTAAGAACGGAATGCAAAACAATCACCAATTCAATACAACACCACCTAATCAACTCTGTACTCATCACTCCAAAGAACACTTCCTTCAAAATAATCTACACAATCAAAGAAACTGTGGATTGAAGGGAAACATAATCAAATACTTATGAAGTGCTGAAGCGTTAGCGATACTTTATTTATTTATTTTAACACAAAGATATTGGTACAAGGAAGCACCAAATACATATGCACCACATAAATCTCATTTGATTAATGTGAGGGCTGTGATACTGCTCGGGTGCTCAAACCGAAGCAGATGTTTTCTTTAAACAGGCCACACCCGTAGCCTTCGACCTGAAGGTCTGATCCACAAGACAGTGGAGCAACGTCAGGAGATGCAGTCTCATGGTAGCCGGTCACCGACGATTGGATCATACTCCATTTGTTCCCTCAGGATCCTGAAGCCCATGTGCACCATTGGTTTGGAATCAGGGTTTTCCAAGTCTCCTAGGCGAACTCTCCATATCCACCAACTCGGTCAAAGCGTCGGACACTCGCTTTTCGTCCTCTCAATTTCCTAAACAACAATAATGCCACGAGAAGGCAGTGAGTAGGACTTCTCTGGCAATGGTTATATACGCGTGGCCGTGTGAGAGTATTTCGAGAGGGAGAGCGGACTCTCCCCACTCTCGGCCGTACCAGGGTATTTGGGGGCAATGGAAAACCTGGAAGCACTGGACGGCCGTTTCGTCCTAGTATGCGACTCCTCAGCAGTGCGCATCCACTATCCCACACCCCATGAGATCCGAACCCAGGACATATCAGTCTCGCGCCAGGCGCTTAGCCAACTAGACCACTGAGCCAAGTTATGCGATACACTTATGCAAGACCGAATTTTTCATGCAAAACGATGTATCCAAACTCTTATACTTCGTTGGCCCTAATTCACTTCTGCAGTATGTTTTGACCTTGTTTTATTTTTATTATTATTTTGTCATTTTAAACCGTAATCGGTTATTATTATCCTTTTAATAATTTCTCATGATAATTATTATATCGTTTCATTTTTCTTCATATTACCTTTAACCCAAATGACAACATCGATATAATCAAACTTTATTGTATGTACTAGATAATTGAGTTCATTTTATATCTGTACTACCTAAACTTATGTTAATTAGGAAAAGTGAATTACATCAAGTCATAGAAAGTCAAGATTTAAACTTTCTACTTATTGGAATATTACAAATACATTATTATTTTATCATAATAGTCAGTCAGTCAGTCAGTAACAACGTAGAACTTCGTACTTACGTACGTGCATCAGTTCGAGTTGCCATACCACATTAGCACAGAGAATTTTATCATAATAAATAATCTATCTAATGCTTAATTTAATTTTAAATTACTAAGTCAAACCCCGTTAGTGACGCTTAGATAATCACCAAGGCACTATATAATAATAATAATCTGACTCAATTATAGCAAGTATGTACTCTTGAATCTAACTGTAAACAAATTCAGACAGTATTTGAATGTAATCTATTATATGATTAAACAAAATGAATGAACTAAATAATATGTAATTAAATTTGTAACTTGTAGATGATAAACGTATTAACCGAATTCCTGAATAATAAGTCCTAATAAACTCATGAATTAATCCAAATAGTACGAAACCTAGATCTAGGGTTTCCTTTCAACTATACCTCTTAAACACCACATTATATCTTAATATAGCTACGCAAGAGTCGCTTAGACCAGTGGCTACATTGCAAATTGATCGATAGAATTCGATCCACACTAAGAAGGTCCTGATATATATGACATTGGTCAAAATGAATAAAAGAATAAATGAAAACAATCAACCATAAATAACCATAATAAAACTGATATCATACTTGAGCACTAACCAAAACAGATCATTTCTATATAAGGTAGGTGTGTTGTGTTGATGATTTTGTTGTTTAGGACGAAATTTAGTTAGACAATTAAGTTAGAGCGGTTATCAATGTATAAATTAAAAGAATTGTATATTGTTTTAGAAGTTCAAATTATTTGAAATGATTTTTGACACTATGAATGAAACTCCACCTGCAACTCTTCTAGAGCTACTGCCGGTCCCAAGACCGGATAAAAGAGGAGGGTTGGGGATGGAATTAGCTACCCGAGCTCGTAGAAAACTGACTCTCTAAAAACAAACGCTAACCAGGAATTCATTCACTAACTGAGAAATAATTCAATGATCATTCAAATCAGGCTTATCTATTAAGAATACAAATTTATTTAATAGATGACACCAAAATAAAGACAAACAACAGATCAAAATTTGGAATCATACAAAACAGAGTAAACGAAATCTCAAAATGATCTCATTCATTTTAGAATTTATATATAATACAATCGAAAACGATGGTAAGTAGGAACACTGTCCTCACTACCTTGTATTCTGGGACTATGTTTGATAGAATCAAATTCCAATAAGTTAAATGATCTATACAACTCTAGTCTAAGTTATGATGAATCAATAAACATTACCCAATCGTATACAATAATGAAAACTGTTTGGAAAATTGTATCTTTAGGAGAATGATGTAATATTATGCCTATCCAATATGAAGTATATGTCAGTATTGAGCGATCAATCGAATTGAGACAATATGACCTGAACAAAATCATACATAATCTACACAAGCTATTTATCTATAAATTTATCCTAATTTATTCAGTAAAATATAAGTCAAGATTTTACGAAGCAACATATGTATCGAATAATACGGACAGAGATGATATTGGCTTTGTTATGTCTGAATACCAAAAATACTTATTTTAATCATTGTTTTTTTTGCACCTTTTTTTCCATATTCAAAATACTTACATACTATGGTATTATTATTATTATTATTGATGGTATAATGCAACATGTAACGTTTAGGAATGAAACTGATATGTTCATACTACATAGATAATTGATGTGGAATCGACTCCAAGTTCTACAGGTCACGCATCGAATGTTTAACCAATAGAACCACCAGATTGATATCCAATGGTACAATTTCACCTTCATGCATCACAGTTTGCAAAGATGGCATGACTGAAAAAAACCCCTATCAGCCCATGAATCAGATTGGCTGCTAAGATTTAAGATTTCAGGTGCATAACCTTAGTGTAAAAACACTAAACAGAAATATGAAATAAAACTACAAGGCACGTTTAAACAGCATTATTACATGCATGATTTATTTATTTATTTATTTTAACACATAGATATTGGTACAATGAGGCAACAAATAAATATGCGCCATACAGATCTCATTTGGTATGTATGAGGGCTGTGATACTTCTCGAGTGTCCAAAGAGAACCAGGTGGTTTTCTTAGGGGGCCACACTCAGAGTCTTCGACCTGAAGGTCTGACCCACAAGTCAGTGGGGCAATTTAAGGAGATGTAACCCCACAGTAACTAGTGACCAATAATTGATTCATATGCCATTTGTTCCTTCACGATACTGGAGCCCATGTACACCATTGGTTTGGAGTCAGGGTTTTCCAACTCACCTAGGTAGACTCTCCATGTTCACCAACCCGGTTAAAGCGCCGGATATTCGCTTTTCGTCCTCTCAATTTCTTAAACAACATCCCCGACGCGAGAAGGTAGTGAGTAAGAATTCCCTGGCAGTGGTTGTATGCACGTGACCATGTGAGAGCATTTCGGGAGAGAAAGCTGACTTTCCCCACTCTCGGCCGTACCAGGGCATTTGGGCATTTGTAACTCTAGAAAAAAGGAACCCACGAAAATGAAAATACAAGTAGAAGGCTTTTTTAAAAATTATCATCATCATTCCTCGCAACTGGAGTGTAGCTCATATCCAAGTACCTGGTGAACATTGTATTGTCTCGCAGTGTAGTGAACGCACTTAGAGGCCAAATGAATAGATAGTTCAGATGACAGAACACACTGGAAGATGCAAATGGAGGTTATGTATATGTATTATGTAAATACTTAGTAACTTTTCGCAATAAATACACCTTTCTCTTGCTTATTGCCATCTTAACAACATCATTGCATGAATTCCAAAAGGAATCATTCAAAAGTATTTCTCAAATCGACAATTTATTTGACCTTAAAGATTCCATTTACGCTTAGCCACCACTGTCATATATAGCTTAGAAGACACGTGGAATAAATAAGTTCACTGATGTCACATAAGAAATAAAACATATAAAGAAAGTTGATTAGATGACGTTCATATTGAGAAGCAAATTACGAGAAAAAAGAGAAAGAAACTTACGTCACTTGATCATCTCTGTAAGTAGGCAGAGAATTTCCAGTGTCTCCAACATACGGTAGGTAATATAGCTATGAAAGTTATAAAATATACTAGAGTATATAAGTAGAAAAATAGACAAATATTAATGTTATTATCATCATCATCAGTTGAGTCCATTGACTTAGTTTGTAAAATTTAAGGCAAAACATTGTGAATTACCACAATTTGCAAATATATGAATCATTGAATGCTTGCTAAGTTATCTGGAAGACCTCAAGATCCTGAACTCGGCCACTGCCTTGGTTGCGGGTTTGAACTAGGGCGAAACAAGTACGTAATGAAACTCAGGTTTCGATAATTATTCAATTAAAGTCAGTTGGTAATATAAACTATCATCAATGCAGTATCTGAGAAAGTAAATTCATTAAGATCATAGATTAGTTTTTTGAGAAATTGTGAACATTCTTGGCAATATTTCTGCACTGACTATTCCAAACTATTTTTATCACTCTACTATTGAAGGTATAAACCTTGATTTCAATTAAAATCTTTATATCAACCTCTTTATAATTATTATTGATGTTAAGCATAGGGTACTAGGTAAAAATATCGAAATCGGTTGATGAGGATGGGAATTTTCATCCACTGAGGTGGTCGAAACATGTATAACGTATGTCTAACCACTACTTAACTTGACGTGCAATGTTATATAGCATAGGAGTAATTTGGAAAAATATTAGAGGTTAACAAACAAAAATGTGACATCAATCCATGAAGTCATTGACTGTTGGTCAAACCCATGTTGATAAATGCAGATTACACGGGTGGGATATGCTCGACTAATGATTGGGTGACATGGCTCAGAATCGCGCAGACATATTCACTAGTTAATTTCATCTAGATCTTGAGTTCATGTATTCTTTCATACATACCTTTTCATTCCATCTTCTCAAACAATATTTTTACAATGTTTAATCCATTTCACTACTACTACTACTAAAATTATTTTGACTCTTCTATTACTTCATCGTTACATTCACTTGACCTCATCATGTTGATGAAGAAAAGCAACTTGAGCTAACGCACACTTGTGCCGAGCCCTGTGTTAACTACTACAATTTGTAAGGATTGATATTTCCCAATTATTTACGTTCAGCACTTCATATGATTATAATCCCCTTAAATGTACATAGAAAACAGATATATTCAATTAATGACGAAATGTATCAGAAGGGGTTTTGTGGATATTATAGTAATTTCAATGGTTGAGATTGTGAGTCAATTGAGGCTAGACCACCATGGAAAACCTGGAAGCACTGGACGGCCGTTTCGTTCTATTGTGGGACTGTTGTGAGATAGTAACTCACTGATGACAATAGTGGATGTGTCACTGAATTTCGTGGATTAGTTCAAGCTAGACCTTAACACCATTGGATGCCGGCTGGCCCAGTGGTCTAATGGTTAAGCGCTCGCGCACGAGACTGATAGGTCATGGGTTATTTATTTATTTATTTATTTATTTATTTATTTATTTATTATTATTATTATTATTATTATTATTATTATTATTATTATTATTATTATTATTATTATTATTATTGTAAGTAACCAGATTAATCAGGATTATCTAAGTTTTGTTAACTTTGTAAATGAACATACGACTAATAATCATAATTGACAGAATGTTTAGCATATTAGCAGGATTTCAATCAACAACTTTTAAGGTAACGATTTTGTGTCCAAAATATTGTTGGTTAGTAATTATGGTCAATTTAACAGTATTATTAGTTGTTAAAGTCCTTTAATTTTAGTTATCTTATGACATATTTATACCTTTCCCATTTATTAACTTTCTATTGAGTGGCCATATAAAAGTCAGGAAATCACCATTAATGTAGGACGTGGGATGAATATGTATCAATTTAAATAGCCACGTCTTTGATTGTTCCATCCCATTCCTATAACAGCCAACATTCCACTGAAGAGTGGTTAGGGATGCATAGTACAGTTAATGAACGTTTATAGCACTATCAAAGGATTTGACTTTCTTACCTAGTACTATATCCCCAATCTTAGCATTACTCACTCATACAACCGTTAATTTACTAAAACTGTGACAACTTTGATCAGTTAGTCAGTAACAACGTGGAACTTCGTACATACGAAAATCAGTTCAAGTTGCCATATTACATTAGCACACAGACACAATTGTCGATTTAAATCCCATTGTGGTAGAGATAGTAAAAGTATAAGCAGTAATCGGAAACATTAGGGTTTGAAGATGTTATTCAACGAGTATAATTCAGTGTAATAAATTCGGAAAGAGAAAAAAGGAACAAGAACAATTCAGAAGATTAGAATTTGGAAGAACACAAAGAGTGGATGCATCTGTGCCATTACAAATCATTTTCAGCAATGTCATTCAACGTCTCTAACCATCGGTTGCTTTCATTTCGCGGTCCCCAACCAGGTAGTCTACACCTACCAACATGACTCAGTCCACTTATCAGTGACTTCATGGAATTGTGCCATGTTTTCGTCTGGCCACCCCTAGCATTCTTCCAACCTACTCCTACACCACAAAACATCGCACATCGAAGCAGTCAGTGGTTGGGCATACGTAACACAAGTCCCAGCCATCTCAACTGATGAAGTTTCACTACTCCATTAATTGATTTGCCATCCTTACCTAGTACCCGTTTCCTGACAACTGCTTTACTTACTCGATGGTCCCAGGATATACGAGCAATGCTTCGAAGACACCTATGATAGAGTACTAGTAACCTCTAATGAATAAACGATAATTTAGTTTCATATATCTTGGAAAGTGATATCAGTTTGGAAATAATCAAAACGTTAGGAAATTTTTTCGATTAGAGTTAAAATTTTAATTCCAATAAATACTTTTGCAGGTTATTTAGATCTTACATTCCTTCAACCAAATAATTAATAGGGTTCTGATGGAAAGTTGTGTTCAATGATGTTGGATATCAAGTAAAATCACCGACAACAATAGATAATAATTGGATAATATCACGAATTGAGTGAATTGAAAGATATGTGGTGAGACAACACGTGGACGTAATTAGGGAGTTTCCAGAACATCCCGAAAAGTACGTATTTAAATATTCTTCTATTAACCTTTCGTCAAGTCAAATGCAGGTCTTATCATTGTGTCCCAAGTTCTGTAACAGCACCTCCAAAACCAATAGACTTCATACTCAAATGCAATTCGAAAATCTATCAAACCAAACTCATGATCATGTGCCGACATCCCCACAAGATCTTCAGCATTTTAAATCCACATTAGTGGATTGTAGTCATGGATACATTAATATACAATGTGGTAAGAATAACTTATTAACTAAGAACCATTTGGACCAGTTAATGCTCCTGAAAACTAATAAAAATTTGATTCCAAATAAACCTTACAAAGGAACTGGTGTAGTACTACTTGACCGCCAAGAATATTTGGATAAAATGAGGTCAATCCTAGAGGATGTTACTAAATTTTCCAAACCTAAAGGAGGAGTTGACAAAACACTGCAAATTGAAAAACAGCTAACAGATGTTGTCAAAAATCTTAAGAATAAGAGGATAATAACCCCAGACTTATAGGATCACATACTTCCGATGGGTTCGATCATCCCGCGCTTATATGGACTACCGAAAGCACATAAACCTGGCTTACCGTCACGACTTATTTTGGATATGTCGAGTTCATCATATCATCGAATCGCCCAATGGTTGGCTGAAAAATTGGATCCAGTTAGAAGGCAAGTATCTAAATATTCTATTCTATTTATTGATCGTATTAAGGAGGTTAGTACTTCCGGAAAACAAATGTTCTCGCTTGACGTTAACTCTGTTCACTAGTGTACATTTAACCGAAACCATATGCTATATACGTGACTATAATGATTCTAACAACATAGATCTAGTGTGTGCTATCTAGGTTTGCTGACTAACCACTTGAAAGAACTATCGTTACGTTATACTTTTAATGACCAGTTCAGTCGCAACAATAAAATATATACACAAATAGATGGGATCGCAATGGGGTCCAATTTTAGCACTGTTTTATGGCAAAATCGGAAAACGACCAACTCAATTCCTTGACTAATCGATTTCGTCTATGCGTAAGAGACATGGACAACACATTTGTCGTTTGTGACGATAATATTGAATTAGAAGATATCTTACACACCTTCAACACATACAACCCTTTCATAGACTTAATGTTAGAAAGTGAGCGAGACCAGTCAATCTCTTCACTCAGTGTGCGTCTGATGAGAAGGAGTAACGGTTCCTTAAAAAGATACATATTTAGAAAACAAACATGGAATGGCCAGCTGACCAGCCTCTATAGCTGGGTTCCTTTAAGCAGAAAGAGAAATCTCATTCACTCTTTATGTTATCGAATACATCAGATATACAGTACGGAATGTATTAACGAAGAACTCGCATTCTTCAGGAAAATTTTGGCGAAAAATGGTTATCCAGACCGCTTTATAGATAAGAATATGAAAAGAATTAGTTGTGACAAGGAATCTGGTTGTTCCGTACCAAAGAAAAACCTCTATATAAGTTTGGAATTTAAAGGTGATTGAACATCTGATGTAATCAAAAACCGTTTAACGACAGAGATTGAAAGAAAATTCGAAGCGGCAAAACTGTAAATAACGTTCAGTAGCAGGAACTTATTTTCTGTATGCACAAAAGATAAGCTTCCCCATCTGGTCACCTCCATGTGCATCCACCAGTTCACCAGCTAGTGTGGAGCAAGGTACATTGGCCGTAGCCAGCAATCGCTTTCAACTAGGATACAGGAACACGTTCCAGTTTGGTTCTACAAGGGTGAGAAAAATGCAGTTAGGAGTTCTATACTTGAACACCTAATCGACTGTAATCATTCTACGGACCCACAGTTTGATTTTAAGGTTGTATATACGATTCGTTCAAATCTACCTAGATTTCTTCGTATCCAACTACTAAAAATAGCTGAAGCTCTGACCATTCATGAGAGGAAGCCAGAAATATGCGTACAAAAGAAGTACGTCTTATCGTTATCGTTAACTTGGCCTTTAGTATTATTATTATTACGGCATGCCCCCTTTACTTAAGTCCCATATTCTCATTATTTTGTTCATAAGTACTCATCGTATCACTATTTTTTAACGCGTCTATGACCTTTAGTTATTGTAACAAAAACATTTTAGTCATCTGACTACATCCATGGAATAATAAAACACCTTAAAAATTCGAAAAAAAACATTAACTAACAGAAGTGATTCACTTACGGTACTTAGTGCTACGAAAAATCCTAATAGTCCACCACCAAGTACATCAGACCAATGATGTTTATTATCGATAATACGTGAATATCCAACAACTAATCCAAGAGCGACATAAATCATTTGAAAACATGTTCTTACACCCGGATACATGCGAGAATGTGAAAATCTCAGTTGAATATAAAGCTGGAAAAAAAAAAGATGACTGTATGATCAGAGGTGAAAAGGTATTTTTAACAATGTATTATGAATAAATGTCTTTTGGAAAAGGATTTTTCAAAATACTGCAGTCAGTCAGTCAGCAACAACGTAGAACTTTGTACGTACGTACATCAGTTCACGTTGCTATACTACATTAACATACAGATACAATTGTCTATTCAAATCCCATTGTGGTAGAGGAAGCAAAAGTATAAGAAGTAATCGGAAAGATTAGAGTTTGAAGATATTATTCAACAAGTATAATTCAGTGTAATAAATTCGGAAAGATAAAAAAGGAACAACAACAATTCAGAAGATTAGAATTTGGAAGAACACAAAGAGTGGATGCACATGTGCCATTACAAACGATTTTCAGCAATGTCATTCAACGTCTCTAACCATCGGTTGCTATCGTCTCGCGGATTCCAACCAGGTAGTCTACACCTACCAACATGGCTCAATTCACATGTCAGTGACTTCATGGATTTGTGTCATGTTTTCGTCTGGCCACCCCTAGCTTTCTTCCAACCTACTCCCAAACCACAAAACATCGCATATCGAGGCAGTCAGTGGTTGGGCATACGTAACACGTGTCCCAGCCATCTCAACTGATGAAGTTTCACTACTCCATTAATTGATTTGCCATCCTTACTTATTACCCGTTTCCTAACAACTACCAGGATATACGAGCAATGCTTCGAACACACCTATTATAGATTGATAGTTGCTCAAGAGACAGGATTACTGACCCAAGCCCTAGAACGATTTAAAGTCAAACACAAGACCACTAGACAGAATAGTTTTTTTCATGTAGTTAAGTAGCATGTTTCTATACAGAATATGAACAAAATAAACATAACAAAACATAGGCAATTAGAGGAAAACAACTTGTAGGTCACTAATTCTGCAGTCAATCACGACCTTATTGCTGGGCGAAAATCTTTGGACATCGTATGAAATTCGTAGTGACTCTCTTTCGACTTTGTTATATCATTACTTTTGACCATTGTACTATTGCGCGAACTGAAATTTTTATATATAATCCATTCTATATGCTCATAATATGTACCTGGTGATCAGATTTGACTCAGTTAAAAGTATTTTGATAAATTCAATCTCTAATTGGATTAAATGAATGAGTAACAGTTCCCACTTATCCATAATAACTTATTTTCTTATTCCCGTCGCCAATGTTGTGAACTACGTTTGGGTAAGGTAATTTCAAATGAAAGAAATCTACACGAACTAAATAGACTGGACGATTAATACACGACGCCTTGACAATGACATCCAGAGTGACTGGAAGAAAGAGAAGTCTTGTAAGGAAGATGTATTGATGAAAATCTTATAAGAATTAATTTACATCCACATTAATTTAATTATTTAGAGATTATTAAATTGGTACATCGGTACAAAGAGGCACCAATAGATATGCACCACACAAATCATTCGATTTGTGTGAGGTCTGGAATACTGCTCGGGTGCCCAAACTGAAGCAGGTGGTTTTCTTGAGGCGCCACATCCCAAGCCTTTGACCTACAGGTCTAATCCACAAGGTAATAGAGCAACGTCAGGAGATGCAACCCCGCAGTAACTAGTGACCAATAATTGATTCATATGCCATTTGTTCCTTCACGATACTGGAGCCCATGTACACCATTGGTTTGAAATCAGGGTTTTCCAACTCTCCTAGGTGGACTCTCCATGTTCACCAACCCGGTTAAAGCGCCGGATATTCGCTTCTTGTCTTTTCAATTTTGTAAAAAGCATCCCCGCCGCGAGAAGGTAGTGAGTAAGAATTCCCTGGCAGTGGTTGTATCCACGTGACCATGTGAGAGCATTTTGAGAGGGGTAGCGGACTCTCCTCACTCTCGGCCATACCAGGGCATTTGGGGGCAAATTATTAAATAATTATTAGTTACAGAATTTATTAACTGAATAATCACCACTCAAACATAAAATCAAATAGAAATGAAAATAAAATCAACTGATTCCATAATGCATAAATCGAGAAGTAAAAATGTACTGAAAGTCAATAAATGAAGTCCTCCTCAATGTAGTACTTGGTGATTCAGCATCCTCAAAAAGTAATGATTGATTTTAAATAAAGTCTTTCATTAACAGTTTTTTATGTCATGAGTTACGTTGCTATGCATATGAAAATTTCGCTGCATTGACTTTTATGGATGAATTATATTAAATCTCGAAAATACTTTTTTAACCGGCATAAATAACAATATTTTGTATAATTCATCTGGTCATGAGATGATGGAGAAGATTTGTAGCTGAGATGGATGATTTTGATGGAGTTTTGTTCTCTGAGCTGGACTTTATCTGAATTTAATGCTGAGGATGTCGTTCAGAAGAACGATGAAAGCTCTATGACCAAACCATCCAGCTCAGAGAACAAAACTCCATCAAAATCATCTGATAATCCTAGAAAAAAGATATTAACTACAGTTTTAACATTTAATTCATTTTTTCAGACATATTATCTAGTCGTTTTTGAGACCAAGAGGTAGAGGTTAATTTTCTAAAACAATATGAAAAGACCAAAGAAAACAAGAGAATATTTACTTTATCTAACCGTGTAAACTGATAAATGTTTATTACCTAGTTGGTAAAGTCCGTAATTATGGACTACAGAGGAATTTTGACGAGTAATGACCATACCCTCCACTCGCAACTAAATCAGAAATGGAAGACAAACATTGACTAATATATTTACTAAATAAACATTTAGACGACACAGCCACCTATCATACATTAAAGATAAATCGACTTCCAATGTTGCACGGATTATGGTTATTACAAACAATTCAATGGTAAAATCTTGTAAGTGATAAAAACGGAGAACATCTTCAACAAAACTACTCAAAATTTCAAATACTCGATCACAACCAGAAAGAAACTCATGACCTACGGGTCTTAAGGTGAAAAAAGCAAACACTGTTATAATTCTGTGACCTACGGTTCGGTCATTCAATTATAATCACCGTTAGGTATTATTTTTAACATGGAATGATATCCGATAGGAAATCAAGGATAAGCACAAAACGATAAATAGTAGTTTTTTCCAGTCTTAGCGACGATTATGAAAGTGAATTTTTAACCACTTTGGCTAATAAAGTCAGCACATACAAACCGTACAACTAGATAACATTTAAGCTACCACGCTTTAAAAGTCAGTAAAACTATATACATTTTTTTTAAAAATATAGTATTTTAAGTTGACTGAAAAAACTGACTGAAGTGTAAAAGATTAGAGGGGTGACAGGCATATTTCGTTTAGCCGCTAAACTATGGTATAAGCTCTACTGGAGCACTGGTTCGAACCCGTTACCTGAAGTCAAGATTAGCAATCCGATAGTATTATTAACCCATACAAAAACTGGTTAAAGGCCGAGTATATGAACCTGTTACTTCGTTATTGAAACAAAAAGCCATTCCACTCAAACTAAATAAGAAAAAATATGACAACTTAAGTTCGTCTAAAAATCATAAAAATGTATGGTTTTGAAAAAGTAATTGGGTTAACTCACACATAGAAATATAGCAGTATATATTGCAATTGAGGTATGTCCAGATGGGAAAGATTTTCTATACATATAAAATTGGAATGAAACGAACAAAAAAGAATGTAAGATAGAATTGATGATAAAAAGTTGATTACAATTAGTAGATAGCACCTACATAAACCCGTACGCATCGTGTAAAGACAATAAAAAGTTAGTATCATACTGCTAATCATTATTACGATTTTCCAGTTGAAGTTGTTTATTTAGTCAATACCTCCAATTTGAAATGTATATAATTAAAAGGCATTAAAGTTCATGAAGAGACCAGTGATTCTTATGTCGCACAGTAACAGAACTGAGCTGAGTAGATATTGTTGTTGAGCAGACTAGATAAACTGAACACTTTTTATGTCACTGAAGCTCTCCGTGAAATCACTATGTCTGAGCAGTGTAAGTAGGTCTAGACTATCCATTGGTCCAGGTCTAGACTATGTTATTAGAATTTGAGGGATAAGCGATATTAGTGGGTAGGAAAATACCGGAAGACTATCTTTCAAAAGAACGGCTACCCAATCAAGTTGATCAAAAAATACCAGCCAAACGCATCAGCAGAAACAAAGTCAAGTACAGAAACCAACAAAAGGATCATCCTTCCATATATAAAAGGCATATGAGAAATTACAGCGAGATTGTTGAAGCCTTTTGGAATAGGTGTAGCACACAAACCAACAAAATCACTTCAGTCAATCTTATGCAAACCATGGGACGAAATGATAAAGGAAGAGAGACCGAACATCAACCACAAAATAAATTGTTCCGACTGAGGAAAGTACTACATTGAACAAAGCGGACGCGCTCTTCATCTTTGCCTGCATTAACTTATATCAATGCATGTGGACAACTGTGGACAAGCATTCGAATGGAAAGACGTTGAGATCTTGGATAGAGGAAGTTCTAAAAACACCCGAGAATTTTTAGAAGCTTGACATTCAGATCAGTCAGTAATCAACAAACACATTGAAATCGATCCAATTTATCAACCAATCAGAAAGATTATGGACAAATATAAAACCAAAAATCAAATCAATGGGAGATACAACCAATATAAAGAAGTAAACAATGACAGGTTACAGGTCAACAATAACCAATCAACATCGAGGTCTATAGGAAAAGTTGTGAGCCATATGTGAGGAAATTCGAACACTTTAACTTCTACCCGAAGTTTGTGCTGATGGTGTCGTTCAGAATAACGACGAAAACCCCAAGACCACACCGTCCAGCTCAGAACAAAACTCCATCAAAAACTATATTTAACCCTTTTGCCATTATCGATTGTACTATTATTTCGATTTTCACGGTTAACAAGAGATAAACTGATCATAATTTTGAATTTCGGTCTCAGTACTCATATTAGCTTTAAGGTTTGAGTAGGGAAAAGCCTATAGTTTATGCGGAAGTAGATTCAGGAAAGTAATACTGAGTTTGCACATACTTTTGCTGTATACAACACATCAATAATTATTTACCGATACTGAGCCATGTTGGTAGATGCAGACTACATGGTTGGGGTCCGCGTGACTATCGTAACCAATGGTTGGAGACTCTTGGTGACATGGCTCAGAATCGATCACAATGGCGTCGGTGTATACACTCCCTGTCTTCCATCAAACTAAGAGATTAAAATCACTTCATATCTTTCTTTCTACGAACCAATTCTTTCTTCTTGTACTATATCTCTATATGCAATCTTTGTCTTATATATTACCACCTTTGACCTAACCACTCCTATGAATCCAGTGTTCATCTTGTTGTGCTGATGCGGTATGGCAACCTGGACCGATGCACATATGTGCCTGGTCCTACGTTGTAGCTGACTGACTGACTGACCGATAATGAATTACTTAGAAATTAAGAAAATAATCAGCCTTTCACAGTTCGTCGGGAAATGAAGAACGTTCACGTTGAATTAACGTCTTTTAAAGCATGATGACTTCTTAGATGGAATCTTATAAACAGTTAATGGCTCAAAAGCTTGTTAGAGATGCTATATACTTTAATGTAGGACCCATTGTCTATTGTGTTTTAAAAGATATCATAACTAAATGTTTTAAAAAAGATTCAGAAAGTATGCAGACGTAAAAACCGAACATAGATTACAAATTTGAATGTTTTTATCCTTTTAGTTGAAGAGTTAAATAGGCTTAAGACCGCATAGGATGAAAAACATCATGTAAGATTGTTACAATGTCTAAACATCAAGAGAGAGTTCCAATAACTTTAGAACGTTTAACAAATAAGTTCGACGCATTTAAACGTGACTGAACAAATGCATGGACACCATCAACATCGATTCCAACACAGGTGTGCGCTAGCCCATGTCAAAATACCGTATTGGCATGACAAGATGACGATAAGAAAATAGAGAAATAATATAGTAGTATTACTGAGAAGATTAAGAGTTGGGAATATAATTTGAAAAGGCATGGCTGGAGAGACGTTTGAGTTTAATGGCGAGAATTAAGTAAAGATTTAATGTATCTACACCATAATTTCGTCCCATGTTACCCAAAGCCTCCGAACATTGAGCGCGATTATTATACATACCCCAACCAAGTAATTTGCATCTACCAACAGTGAGTGACTTTATGGACTGATATGATATTTAGGTCACCTCCAGATTTTTTCCGACTTACTTCAGCATTAGAAAGCATCGCTTGTCGAGGTTGCCGGTGATTGCATTACTATCAAAAAGCTTTGATATATTGTTGTAAATATTGTAAAACATTTTTATCACACACTGAAAGATTATTTTAAGACCTCCCTTGAAAAACTATTCGAGTTAAACAAACTGTTGAAGTAGTCCCATCCGAATAAATTCAAGATAAAAAAATACAGCGGATAAACATAGTTTGCTAATATCAAGTGTTATGTAGTAGCGTACTATAGCACGGCACAGCTCGATTACATAATCCTAACTTTCTATTAACTGAGTAGTTAAACACGTCCGTTTACCAAACATAGATTCACGTTTATTGTGAATGCTGATAAGCATTTCCCGATTGATAAATTGAATGAGGCAAAATATCAAAGCTCGAAGGACCACAGGAACCTTACCAAGTGAAAGTTGAACTAATCAGTAGAAGATAAAGCTCTGTATTCCGAAAAATCTATGGATTATGAAAGCGTTACTTTCACAGAACAAGAAATGTTTCTATGAATCGAAAATTCGAAATCTACCATAAAAACAATAGTATCATAGCCATCTTGTCAACAAAAACTGGTTATTACCTCAGGCCACTTGATTTGTCTGATGAACAAGTAAAATTACCAACAAAACCCAAGATCGTAGTTTGAAGGTCAGAAGGTTTGCATGCATCAAGAAAATTTGGACGGAGACGACCAAATGAAACTTTACCTACATCCGTAAGACCGATAGTAGCAAAGTAGCCAAAACAAGCAACAATAAGAGAATCATAAATTGGATACAAAACCTACAAAGTTAAAAATTTCATGATTTCTAATCCGATAAACAAACCACCGGTATTCTATGATGAGTTTTTCTTAAAGATTTTGCACTAACAATTACTTCACCGACAACTATCTGAAAGCAAATTAATATGAAATTCTGGGAGTAGGACGGAAATACCGTAATCAGTATTAGTAGTGAGGAAACTACATAAAGGACAGTACTTGAGATAGTGTTCTGTCTAAATGGTTTTTTGATTGATTCATCTTGAACAAAGTATCCTCTTTTGTACGGATCAACATTCTGCAGAACGGTATTGGTGACTATCACTATAAATTGAGAACGGTTTGTGTGTGAAATAAACTGAAATTACAAGCAATAATAAAACCCAAATCCGATCCCACTCTAATTATACCGTCAATCAAGGGTTTCATAATAAACGATACCAAATAACAGTAGGATCTCAACACACTAATGCTTTTGAAAATAAAAAATGCACCAGCGTTATTGAAGAACAACATAAAACAAGGAGAAAAAAACATTTTAAATAATTTTGTAAAGCAAGAAATGAATATGACATCTTTTACCAGTTTTCAGTAGTTAACATCTAGAAATTTACTAAACAGTAAAGCAATTTTACTTGACAAAGAAATTTTTTTCAAGTGAACGAGCATTACCAGGACTGGATGGTACCTTCAAGAACATACTGAGTCTTCAAGTAACTAATAATTTTAGGAAACAATATAGGCCTCTTTAGTTTATCCACATTTATTATAACTGAAGATTAACCTTATCAATAAGGGAAAATATGATAGCCAATCTCAATACTGTTATATCTTGTACTCAACCATATATGGTGATTCTCCGTTATCCTATACATACATTTAGCATCAATATATCAACCAAACCCAGTTTGCTTGATTAAACTTAAATATCAACCAGTAGACGTACGTCATTAAGTAAAATAGGTGGGTAAAAATACCTCGATCTCCACATTTTCGGGAAAATTTTGTTTGTTTGAGGTAAATTTTGGGGAAACCGAAATAGAAAACTTTGAGGAAACAGCACAAAAACCCCAGCATTTCCCCAGGTCTGAGGAAAATCCACAAATGTTTGCGGAAATTTAGGGTTTTCCCTAATATTTGCACAGAATCTTATAACACTTTGGGGAAAACTACCATATTTCTTACGACTTTGAGGAAAACTCCGAAATTTACCCAAAATAATGAAATTGAAATGCATGAAATTCATGTTGAAACTGCAGATGATTCAATGAAACAACATGTCGTATTCAGTCACACGATGAGAAACTCATGTCATTCTATATATGTAAGACATACATAATTAGGGACTACAGTCAACAAAACACAAATATCACGATAAATGTGACATCCTCAAACCCTGCGCGTTGCCGTAGAGAGAATTAAACAGACATAAAATCACTATAACAAGTGAAATATGATTGATTTATTAGAGAAGGGCTAAAAGTCATCGACATACAGTGAAATATGTAGTAAATCTTCCTAAAGGATAAATCAATTTAAAATCTAGTATTTTTGTCACAAGCTTATATAAATCTATTGATTTCTTGGCTCTCGCTTCTTGTTGTTCTTGTACAGTTCCGAGTATTCCATAATGACCAACAGGTAATATTCCAGTCATTTGACCTTTCGTTTTTAAATCCCCTATAGCATGACATACTTGTTGTCGTTCATGAATACACCGATACACATATATGCATCTTGTTCTCAATTGCCTGGTGTTATGATAACAGGTCTTTATTATACTTACTATCTGCGTTTACAGATCTCAGTGATATATTCATTATATGCTTTATCTGGATGTATATCTCGAACTATAACAATTGTGATTGGGATTATTAATCACTTATAAATATGGATTACCAGACCAAAACAAAGACAAACATGCCAACTACTGACAATCTGAGTGACATCTTGTATATTTTTCTTGGATATATAATTTATATTTGATATATTGTCATATTAATTTTTGACGTTGTAGATTTTTCGTTATTTTTGGAATTGATATATTTTTGGTCCACCGCAGAAGTAGAGTTTCTGGATACCAACAGCTGTCACATTACAGACAAGAGGTTGGCTGATTGTAGTATAGAAATAATAGTGATAATCCGCGCACTAAGAGAACACGATTGTTTAAAGAGTAAATAAATAAATGGCTTAACTGATAATGTCCAAGAACATTAAAATGATTGGTTACGCGAGTAACGGAGATGATAATAAGACAAATGGGAAGTAGTTACTAGTTGTGCAGTAATAATAACTGTGTTAATTTATGAGACATGCACCAGACACTGATGGTCAAAAAGGGACATGGTAATCCACAGGTGAGTACTTGTTCGTCAAGTCACCTCTTCAAACTATCCATTGAGGGGATGTGGTCTATTTCGGCTGGAATAGCACTTCAGATGAGTCAACTCGTAACAAGAAATTTGAGAGCGTACTTGGGCGTCCGCTCTTTGATGTGCAGTCTTTTTGGGAGCGGCTTTGAAGAGTGGGGTATTTATGTTCTGGCGACATGCTCGCGTGGGGGTGTTCCGGTGTGCTCAATGTGTGTCATTACCAGACCACTTCTCATTCTCCTGTAGCTCAGTGAGAATAATCTCAGTATATGTGGTCTGTCCTCGTAAGATTTATGTTCTAGCCCTATTACCCATTTGGTTGCCTGCCTTTGTACTTGGTCCACGAGATTTATCTCTTCTTCAAGCAAGGGGAGCATAGCGACCTCATGGACTTCAAGGTGGGGCCATGAGTACGCTTTAAATAGTACCAGGAAAAACTCTGAGGAGATTGCGTTAAGTCACGAAATCGCAAAGTGGAGAGTTGTGTTTGTCTTGACTGTATCTTCAATTTAGTTTGAACTGATTTCTAAGCTCTCTGCGGTTACAAGCCCGAGAACATGCTCTGGGAAGATAATCGGGAGTGGATTCCCATGGAGAGTGTAAGTGCTATGCGTCGAATGAGGCAGAATGTTCACGACAGGACATTTCGACAGATCAAGTTTTGACCTGTTTTTTACTGCTTATTCCCCTGTTGTCGTAACATTTTTTTCAAGCTCCTGTGAGTCTCATCCGCCTTCCATGGATCGCCATATTTTTGCGTCATTTGCATAGATCAGTGCTAACAAGGTTATCTTTACTTGCAGGTCGATAATACAGATTTAGAACAGGAGTGAACCTATCATCCCTTATAAAACTCATGATTGTGAAATTTTCCAACTGGTGTGCATTCTAGTTAGTAGGTCACCTCTAAGACGCCTGGACCCTTGTAGTGGAATTGGGCCGGGTAAAAGTTTAGTGATTGCGGGCGCTCCTCGTAAGACTTGAATCTGGGTCCCCTAGTTGATTTCGTGACTTGCCGCTGAATACGTGCCAGGGGGTCCTTATCCTTTTGGAGTTAGGGAGGAAATACTATATTTCGGTACTCTAACTAGCGACAAATGAAACTGTTCACGATTATGTGGAAAGTTTTTCTGTCGAACTGACCGAAAATGCGCCTCAATGTTACCAGTGCAAGGTTCGCTCGAAAGCATTTTTGTCATAGTTAGCGTAAGACTTCAAATCGTAGGGTACCAGCACTCCTAAATCTTTTTCAATTTGGGACACTTCTAGAGGGAAGTCGCCTTAGTTCTAACTTTAGTCTGAGATATGCCACAGATGGACTACTTTATACTTTGAAGTGTTAGAGGTAAGTCCTTTGTCATTTGCCCAACTTTGAAGTCGAGTCAGATCCTTCTGGTTGCGTATCTCTCACAGAAGTTTCGCATCATCGGCAAAATGTAATAAGTCTGACGATACCTGTTGTAGAGGATCGATTATATAAATCAAGAAAAGAACAGATCCCAGTGCTGAACCCTGAGGGACCCCACTAGGACACTCCAAAGCCTGAGAGAAATTGAAGTTAACCCTGACCTTAAAATGCCAATTTTTTAAATAGGAAGTGAACCGATCAAAAGTGATTGGACACCCAATCGTTTGAGCTTATTGGTAAGACACTTATAATTGACCCTATCAGAGGCTTTTGAGAAGTCGAGGTAAATGACGTCAGTCTTCCCCTTGCTATCAGGAATGGTTGTCCATCTGTTCACCACAGTCAGCAGGTTAGTTATACAATGATGACCCTTTCTGAAACTGTGCAGTTGAGGCGAAAAGAAGTTTAAGGATAATAAATAGTCATGTAGACCATTGCACGTCAGGGAATTCATAATTTTCGAAGATATAGAGAGAAAAGCCACCGGTCGATAGCTTGAAGGTCTGCTGCTCTGACCTCTTTTGAAAATTAGAGTGATGTGATCCAGCTTCCGAATTTCCCGTAACGTGCCTCGGCTTGGCGAGTGTAAGAACATCACGTCAAGCAGTGTTGCCAGGATTAAAGCTGCTTCCCTCAGTATAGCAGAAGAAACCACATCCGGATCAGGAGAAGTGTCCCTTTTAGGTGCTGTCGTTTCCTACATGCCAAGTCAGCGCTCAGGTTCATTTCGGAAAGCCCTGTGAAGTTGCAGATAAAGCTTTTATCATTATAGATAGTGAAGGTCATCCTTGACTGCTTTGAAGACCGTATAACACAATGGACGTTGTCAAGGAAATATATTAGTAATAATGAGCACAGAGAAGTTAGTGAGACCAACACCTCATGCGCCAGTCCATGGCATACGGTCAACCGATGTGCGTTGGTTGCCCGTGACATTTACGAGGATCGATTATTTGTTCGATATTCTATGGCCCGACTGCAGGATGATTTAGCTATGGCTCAGTGACATTTCACTGGCCATGCACTACTCCCCGTCCAGATTCAACGGCCGTTTGAATCAATACCAAACATGTTCGGAGTAGTCGCGCGCCGGAGATAGCCAAATGATCAATGTGAATCCTTCGAGTATTGCCGATCTGTAAGACAAATGGAAAAAGGTGGCAGAAACTGATCAGGAAAACAGCGAGTAATAATATGTTAGTAGGACGTTGGTTGAATGTTAAGCGATTAACCATAAAGATAACAGAAAAAACCCAGCGTTTTAAAGTTCTATCAAGTCGCGTTGAAATAGATACCTCTGACAAGTGATTGAGTTCCTCAGACGAGAGGTTTGCGGCAAGAGTAATAAAAACATATACGAAGACTATGGTGGGGTTCGTGGTGAATTTCACAGGTCCTTTAGATAGTTTCCAAATCCGCATTGCATGTAAATAAACCGAAAACGGAATTAAAATGACTGTCGTATAATGCAGAAGTCGAGTCATAATTTACCGTGTAAAATAATAGCAAATAAAAAGAGTATAGTAAACATTGTTTAAAATGGTAGCCACCATTGTAACCAAAGTTTAGAGGGTTCAGGTAACGTGGCCATTTCGTAAAAGGCTTATGCAAAGAGCTTATTACCTAGCGTTAAGCGATATATTACG